TGGAAACATTTTGAACTTTCCACTTCTAAGTATACACCACAAGAAGAGATGACCTTTGAGTACTCTTTTTATGGGGAGCTGCCAGTATGAAAATGCTGAAGAATAGTATTATCTTCTCAGTCCAAACCATCATGATGCTGTAGCTGTGAAGATACTGAAATCGAAATAAGTACCTCAAATATCAATCATTTATTCAAATAAAGGCTAAAATTATAGTGCATTTTGATAATCATGTTTTGTATTGTTTCTCACTGTAGCAGACTTTGTGTCGGTTCATCCAAACCCTGTCACATGGCTTCTCTTTTAAAAATAAAGCTCACTTATCACAACACATCATGTTTACTAGACAAACCCTCATCATGTGAATGGATGGCCTTTAAAACAAAAGTTCTCATCAGTATTCATTTAAGAAACATGATTGTCTGCACCAGTTTTACCTACTCTTCACAATAGCACTGCTGAGATTAAGTAAACTTTCTCTGCTATCTCCTTTTCTCATTCTATTGTTCCACAGATCCTAAATAACCTCTTAACTACTTCCCTTCCACACAGGTATCTTCACTTCGGCACTTTTCACCTTTTAACTGAGGCAGTTCATGTAAAAACACGAGCTTACCCTAAATGTAGGGACAGGCCATCATCTTTCCTCATGGCACCCATATAAAGGTTATGATAGAATGGAAATATCTACAATAGATTCTACAACAAATGCGGTACATCTTTCGATAACGTTTATCTTCAGTGTTAATTATATAGATATGAAATCTAATTAGTAGAGAAATGTATGTTCCATGAGCAACCCAATTCACATAGGTGAACTATGAATTAAGGAAATATAACAAGCATTTCCTTGAAAAGGAAAATATAATTTTTTGATCAAAACAATAAGTTTAAAGTTGAAGTGTACAGAGGAAGTAATCAGCATGTGAAGTTTGTAGGAAAACAAGTCTAGGAATGATGTCATTTCCTACACTAGAAAAGCATAATGCATGCATTAAAGAAAGAGGGGAGAAAATACAGAACCCTAAAAACTTAAAGAGGATTTGAGACAGGCCCTCGGCTTATATTTAAGATAAACCTATTGTCAAAATTTCAATGAGTATCTGTTTCATAAAATATCTTCCTCCCACGACAATTTGGGGAAACCACTTAGAACTATCAGCCTGTGAGTAGGACCATGTTCACTTGGCCTGTCGAAGCAGAGTGGGCTTTAGCTATTTAACGACTATTTAATGATAATAGCTCACTTGCAATCCATGGAAGACTACAGACCACAAACCTCTCAGAAGGAAACAGAGATCATGCTTGGCAGCTAGTTTTCAATGGATTCTGAAGTCCAACACAAAAAACACACGCACCAAAAGACAAACAGATAAATGGAATCATATATATATATATATCAGTCTATCGAAGGCCTTTATCAAGAAAGGAAAGAGACAACCTCCAGGCTGGGAGAAAATGTTTGTAAGTCATATATCAAATAAATGTTTAATATTCAGAATAAACAAATAACTCTTACAACTTAACAACAGAAAGACAACCCAGTCAGTAAATGAGCAAAAGACTTGAGTAGACATTTCAGCAAAGAGGACATATAAAGGGCCAACAAACACACGAAAAGATGCTCCACATGATTGCTTCGTCCCTGCACAGCCACTGCCACGGAGTCGGTTCAGACTCCCAGTGACTCCACAGGCCGTCAATGGCTTCAGATCTTGATGGAAGCAGTGGCATCGCTCCCCACAAAGCAGACGGGGTGCCTGAATGACCACATTTGCAGTGAGTAGCCCAATGCTTAGGATATTGCTTTATACCTATGAGTATGGCTATAATTACAGAAAATGTTAAAATAAATTTAAAAAAACTGGTACTAGTGAGGATGTGAAGAAATTCAAATCTTTGTCCATTGCTGATGTCTTTAAAAAAAAAAAGTATATGCATTGTGAATAGTTTGGGACCGTCTCAAAATATCAAGCAAAATTATCAAATGATTCAACAATCCCATACCTAGGTATAGAGCTCCAAAATATTAAAAGTAGGAATAAAAACATTTGTTCAGTAAGTTTCATTGCAGCACAATTCACAATAGCCCCAACGTGAAAGCAGTCTAAATGTCTATTCACAGATGCATGGATAAAGCAAACGCCATGGCCATAAAAAGAAACCACAGCTCTAGCACATGCAACAACATAGATGAACCTTAAAAATATTATTCTTGAATTATCTATTACCAGATATACTCGTGTATAAGCTGAGTTTTTCAGCACATTTTTAATGTAGTTTTTATGGTAAAATTAGGTGCCTCCGCTGATATTTGGGTTGGTTTATACTCAAGTCTTTACTGTAATCAATGTTCTCTTGTTTACTTTTCCTGGATCTAATAGCCATTGCAATGATTACACAGAGTTTGGGAAGAAAAATCATGATGAAAGGACTTATTAAGGAAGTTAACAAGTTATAATGCCAGTGAGAAATGCTCAATGTTGAGTTGTTTATCAGGACATGTTACAAAGTTCTTTCAGAGCTCCTAGTAAATACCCAAAGGGGTATACTACCCTGCTGTAAGCCTCGTCCCAAAGGCTCCATTTCCATGGGTCAGCAAGCCCAACTTGCTGAATTAAGTGCCCAGAGGCACCCTACTTAAGTAAGCCTCAGCCAGCCACGCAGCTCCACTTTTGTGGACCAGCAAGGCCAGAATTCCCAATTAAGTGCCCAGAGGCACCACACTCCACAAGCCAGTTACCTGCACAAAAGCACTCAGCTTGACTTGCTCCATGCGTTGGGAAGGCCATCACTCTGTGCTCTGGCTCCTGGTTCTCTGCTGTTCCTCTTTGGTTGCAGCTGTCTGCTGAAACCAGGAGGTTCACCGCACGGGGGTCTCCGGTCCAGAGAACACACCTCACTCCCAGCTCTTGCTAAGAGTAATCAAACCCCTCCTCCTGCTTCTCAGAGTGCTCATTTTATATGCAGCTGGGTAGCACACCTAGGAATCCTGTCCTTAATGACTCACAAGTGAATCCTATCATTGTTTGCCCTCACCTTTTGACCAAACCCTTGCAGGAAAGGGGCATTTGGTGGACGTTAGAGACTTTGGCTAGAAGGGCCACAGTAACTAACACACTGCTCCTACAATTCTGAGTGAAAGAGGTCAATCACAAAAGGACAAATATTCGATGGACTAGCCACGTGTCCAGGGACTCGCATTCCTAGTGGTTACTAGAAGCAGGTGGGAAGAAAGGAGAAAACAGGGCTCAGGGCTCAGTGGAGGCTCACCTTCAATTAATGATGATGATATAATCCAGGCATATTGAGTGAATGGGGCAACGAATTATTTAATATGGTTCTTCTAGCCATAGTTTCTCTACCTCCTGCCAAACCTTTTCCTCCATTGGTCTGGGTAAGAATGTAAGGAAAATACTGATAGGATTCACCTGTAACTGTTAACGTGCTTCATGGGGACTGCCATTCTTGTAGATATAAAACAAGCCCTCTGAGAAGCAAGAGGAAAGGCTCTCTGTACCAATAAGAGCCAGGAGGCAAGTACATCATCCGGAGCCCGCGATTCCTGCACAGTGAATGTCCTTCCCTAGATCCGGAAGACAACTTCCGGAACAGCAGCACCAGCACCAGCACCAGCAACCAGAGCATGAGGCATATTGTGGACTGGCCAGCCCACAGAGCAAGAAAAGTCAAGTGCTTTGGGACAGGAGGTTGGCTTATAAGGTGGGACGCCTCTCAGCACTTAGTTGGGGGAGCTGGAGGTGGAGACAAGTGCCTTCAGGTTGTGGTTTACTGGAGTGGGGTGCCTCTGGGCACTTAATTCAGGGAGCTGGGTTGGCTGACCCACAGCACTTGAGCTGAATGTCTTCAGGTGGAAGCTTCAAGCACAGTGGCATGGTGTCTGGCATTTATTCGCAGCGCTGAAAGAATTTGGTGAACAGGTCCTTGCTGAACAACTGTCTCCTGAGCATTTCTCACCTGCACTGCCAATGGTTAACTTCCTCCATGAACCCTTTAACTGTGACTATTGTCTCTGAGTTCTGTATGGCCATTGCAATGAATGATAGAATCTACAGAGAAAAAGAAGAGAGTGTTGTGAGAGGCGGAACACAGGTAGAGTGATGGTTGGACAAAAAGAGGAACAAAATTAAGGTTACTCAGCTGCATTTGAAGATTGTTGAAATGACAAATGTTTCATTACAAGTCTATCACCATAATAAGAGGGAAAGAAATGAGTTAAGAGGCTTGAGAGAAACTATAGGTAGAGACAAGTTCTGGATATTTAGCATCTGATATTACACGTTCTGGAAAGAAATGATGGTGAAGATCTATCAAATATTTGAGAACATTTCCAGAGATGGAGATGCTTTTACTGCAAAGGGCCCACCAGAGCTGTGAAGAACGGAAGAAGATTGCCCCCAGTAACAAGGTGTTGAGATGCATGGTAGGCTATGACTGGAACAGACATGGAACAGAGCAGAGAACAACTGTTCCTCATCAAGCCCCCTTTGATGCTACTTGATTTGGAAATTATATATGCACAAGGAATGCATTGCTTGGATGAAAACATTAAATATATGACAACAACAAACATTCAAATGTAGGCAATGCAATTTATATTCGCAGTCAGTATTTGCTGTGAGCTGACCGTGACCAATTAGAATTATAAATAGTTCTAGCTTAAGACTCATAATTATGCATACACAAAGGAAGACTACAAGTTTTTGTAGTCTTGAAAACAGAATATTTTTTAGTCTTGAAAACACGACATTTTCAAATAAGCAAAATCTTGGACTCCAGTGCTTTAAGCTTACATACTTTACACTCTAACTATTTAAACAAAAATTCAATAAAGGGAAAATTAATGTCACAATCATGCTGTTAGATGGAGCTTGAAGCCTTTCTAAAATGCAACCCATGTATGAACATATGACTTCAGAAAAATGCAATTACACCACCAGAAATGGAGCCTGCAGGACTAACGGAGTCTGCATGATTACCTGCTGTGGGATCTGTGACCGCCTGGCTGATGATGCCAGAAGGTGGTTCTTGAAGCTGGTAAGTCGCATTTGTAGACGGCGTTGTTGGGCTGGTGTTGCTGCTTGCCATGTAATGTGATGGGTATGGCGAGCTGTTGTAATACTGCGCATACTGACCCTGGCCAAAACTGGGGTACGATGGGTAATCCTAGCAAATCAAACCATACAAGTCAGTCAGACACTGTCACTTATTAATTATAGGCGTCCACATGTAGCAGTAAAAAGTGTTTGTGGTCAAGCATCTTCTCTGAATTCATTCAGGAGGTTACACAAGGACACACTGGACTGAACCCCCCATGCTTGCAAACGTAAGTTTTATGGTGGGTTATCCAAGCTTTTCACACCTCTTCTATCCAAGATGCATTGCTAGGGAAAACGAACCCAATCTAAAAACTAAACACCCACTACATCAGACTGCCTGAAGGAAAAAACCACCCTGAAAAACTATTCAAGAGTTTAGGAAAACTCTCACTTATGGTGTAAAATAAACAGATATTTCTTTATCAAAGACAGTCATCTGATGTGTTCAAAAAAGTAAATTGGACAAGTCCCCAATTAAATGATTTAAAAACAAGTAAATTGACTTTGAAATTACCTGCTGTGAACTGTTAAAACCAGAAGAATTTGTGAGTGAATTGTTTCCTGTATATAATCCTGCTGATGTTGTAAAACTGCTACCTAAAATGAGATAACGAGACACAGTTTACTAAGCAACAAAGAACAATATGGCTGTAGGATTTTTTAAAATATCATTTTGATAGGGCAAAGTTGGTGTTCATTGCTAAAATCACAACTAAAAGCTTGCTACTTTAAAATGCTTGACACTTCTAATTCCCCACTGTTAAAAATGATCATAAAGGCATTTGTATAAAAATCTCAGGCGTGGAGCATTCCATTTCAATTTGTAAAGCATACCAGATTTTTCAGAAAATCATATGAAATATGTCTAGTACACAGTGACGGGATCAAATTAGAGGATCTTTAAGGTTCTTTCTAGCTTTACATTGATGCTGCTATTTCCAAACACGTTATACTTGTACTAGTGTCATTATAAGAACCCACTTCTATGAAAATTCGTTTCATAGAAGAGCAAATTGCAGTACTTGCAGGCGTGAGACAAACAAGATTAAAAAGGAATGTGACCCCTGTTTTATCAAAGACATGCATGGTCTCACTGTCCAGGTAACTTTCCATTTGTTGAATTTCGAATATGTCTTCAAGAATAAACAGTATACAAGTCTTCAATGGATATTATTCAAAAAAAGGAATATTACCAAGCTGTTGAAATAGACCGATGTTCACTGGTGGTGTAGTGGTGATGTGTGGGACTGCTGACTGCAAAATCAGCAGTTTGAAACCACCAGCTGCTCCACAGTAGAAGGATGAGGGTCTCTATTCCCTTAGAGCAGTGGTTCTCAACCTTCCTAACGCCACAGCCCTTTCATACAGTTCCTCATGTTGCGGTGACCCCAACCATAACATTATTTTCTTTGCTACTTCATCACTGTCATTTTGCTCCTGTTAGGAATCGGGTGACGCCTGTGAAAGGATCTTTCAACCGGCAGGTTGAGAACCGCTGCCTTCAAGAGTTAGTCTTAGAAAACCACAGGGGCAGTTCTACCCTGCCTATTGGGTCACTTGAAATTGGAAATGACTAGATGGCAGTGAATTTGGATTTTTTTTAAATTTAGTAACCTAAAAACTAAATATTAGAGGTTTTGATAATGATGGGAACACTACACAATGGGGTAGGGTTGCACAGCTGCGTACGGCAATGGTTGCCCAGAAGTCATATAGCTACAAAAAGTTCAACTGGCAAAAGTTGTGCAATAGGTATCATTACAACAACTTTTTTTTTTTTTGGGGAAAGAGTAGTACCTGAGGCTGCTTATGCATGACAAAGCACCTCCTGGTATTTGGTTTCATAGTTTGGAGGTTTAGGGTCATGGCTTCATGGGACACCCAGTTAGCAGAATGATGTGTTTAGTGTTTCTGTTCTACCTTCTAGTTCATCACGTAGGCCGTAAGGGCTTGGGAGTTGTCCTGAAGAGCACAAGTGGTCTGTATTTGCCCACAGTGATGGAGGAACGGGAGTCAGAAACCGGAGGAGGAGACGGGATGTGGGGCTAAATGCCTCCATGAACAATTCCTTCTTTGCCAAGAGGCCCAAAACTCTTTTTTCATTTTTGTTTTTTAACTTTTTAATGTGAGTTGAAAAGAGGTTACAGAGCAGATCCGTTTTTCATATAACAATGTATGCCCATTTTGCTTCATGTCGTTGACGGCAATCCTCATGATGGAATAGCAATCCCACTTCCTCCCTGTGCCTCCTGTATCCATTCCTCCTTCCCGAATCCATCTGAACTTCATCCTTGGGTAAATGCTGCCCTTTGGCAACACATAGTTAGTTATTTTAAGTTATGCATTTTGTTCCCTTTATAGACTTGTCTATTGTTTGGCTGAAAATTGAGCCAAGGGGATGAGTTTGATTTCAGACCCAAAGGGCAATTAAAACTTGAGCATTTTGAAAGACTGACCAGTACGGCTGGTCTTGTTTATTTTTTCTTTCTGATTTTCCGTTATTTTCTATAGATTGCTCTTATTGTATCCATGCCTTCCTAATGTGATCCCTTTCACAGCAATTGGTCGTGGTAGCCAGGCACCCTCTCATCCTTCTCATCCTAATGCCATGGAGAACAGATGTGTATATGGGTCCACTGTTCACTGGACACATAATTTCTATGCATCTTCAATTTTTGTCACTCCCCACCACACCCGTGGACAGTAAGAGGCTAATAGTAGTGCCATATTTGGTCTCTCACAAGCTTTTAAGATCTTAAGTATTGCTCACTAAAATACAATGTAGAACATTGTCTTTGTAGACTATGTTTCCCCCATCCCCCCAGTCACAATACAGTAAGTATTTCTAAATTTGTATTATGTGGACACAAAAGTGGACTATGCTTTGCCGACTGACCTTGGTGTCCCCAATCCTATGACCTCTAGTCCTCCATTATGGAACATTATGATCAAGGATTCTATCAGTGACTCCTGATCAAAAGGAGGAAAATTTACACATACTTTCATATTCTTGAGGACTCTAGCATTTCTGGAGTCATAGAAGGTGAATGGACACTTACAACTGTTAACCTGAGATAATCTTTAAGCTCTAAACCAAAATTTTTCCCTGGAGTCTTTTTAAAACCAAGCATTATTAGCCTTTTGGCTCTCTGACTAGCACCATGGTGGTTGGGAAGATTACAAAAGGTGACAAAAAAATAGCCAAGAAGAAAGTAGTCCATCTGTTTTTCTAGAAAGATTGGTGTGATGTGAAATCACCATCTGTGTTCACTGGTGTTGGAAAACCACCAGTCACCGGGACTCCAGGACCCATGTTGTATCTGATGGTCTCAAGGGTGGAAAGTTTGAAGTTAGCCTTGCCGATCTGTAGAATGATGAAGTTTCGTTTAGAAAATTCAAGCTAATTACTGAGCACATTCAGGGCAAACACTGCCTGACCAACTTCCATGACATGATTCTTACTCCGGAAAAAAAATGTGCTTCCTGGTCAAAAAGTGGCAGCCCCTGTTTGAAGCTCATGTTGATGTCAGACAGCTGATGACTATCTGCTTCCTCTGTCTTGTATTGGTTCACTGAAAAACGCAACAACCAGATTTGGAAAATCTCTTATGCTCAGCACCAGCACATCTACCAAATTGGAAAGAAAATGAGGGAAATCAGGACTCTTGCGGTGCAGACAATTGCCTTGAAAGAAGTGGTCAATATACGGACTCCAGACAGGACTGGGAAAGAAAAGGCTTGCCACTCTATTTGTGCTCTCCATGATGTGTTCCTCAGAAAGGTGAAAATGCTGAAGCAGCCCAGGTGTCCCTCGGGCAAACTCTTGGAGCTCCCTGGGGAAGGTGGTCGTTCTGGAAAACCACTGGCGATGAGACAGGTGCTAGAGAGGAACGAGCTGACAGCTACGAGCCACCAGCTCACGAATCTGTTTCAAATTCAGACTTTTCCTGGTGACAAACTAAAGATCTTATTTGCAGGAGCAAAACACTTAAACATTAGTTTACCTTAGTTATTAAAGTTCTAGTTTACTTTGAGCAGAGCACTATTTCAAGATCTATCTAGACGGGATCAAATGGAACCTATAGTAACTTAAAAATAAGATAGGAAACTTAGGGGACAGTGAGTTTATGATAATCAGGGAGGAACAACTCCGTAAAGGAGGGTAAAAATGCTCGCACAATTTGAATAATGTAACTAAGCTCACTAAATTCTACTTGTAAAAATTAGTATATATTTTTCTATGTCTATGGTCAAGAATAAAAATATTTTTCTAAACTAAAATTAAGTAGCATTTTAGTTCTTTTCTTTAAAATATGTTTAAGGTACAAGAATTTTTTTAAAGCATAAATTCTTAAGATATATTGCTTCTGGAGGAGAACATGTCTAATCACATAATTTACATTAAATCAATTATGCATTGGCTTTTTTTAATCAAAATTTTATGGCAAATGAGTACTCTAGACAACACATAAATATCTTAGAAGTATAAAGAAGGCTTCCATATGAACTAGTTCTTCCCAGAAGCACTTGAACATGAAATGTGCTAGTTAATACATTCTACTCTTTTACTTCTCACTGGATATTTAAGGACTGGCTCAAAAATCCAAACAGAAATTGATTACTTATCTGCACTTTGGACAATTCCCCCAACCCCTCTAAGAAAATCCTACTTCCAATGGCTCAAATGAGGTAAAGTTTTGGAAAAGATCATTACCTTTCTATATTGTACAGAAGTTAAATGTTAGCATCATCTAAAATTCTGCACTGCACCTATGTATGTTTTTCCCATTTTCCCATTTCCAAGTTAGATACATGCCTAACATTAGTTTCGCATTTGCTAATCAGGCATTGAAAACCTCTTGTAAAATTTTGTTACTTTTATTAGGAAGGGGAACATTTCCTGTGAGGATTTCAAACTGTGTTTTCTGTCACACGAACTCAGAGTTGAGGTTTCTGCATTTGTGTCTTCCAGTGTAGCTATCAACGGTTCAAGATTCCCGAACACCTATCTCCGAGAAGCCAAGTTCTCCTATTGCTAACACTTATCCTTCCTTGAATGCTGTAACCACAATGGACATTCTCATATTGTCCATTTTCACATAGTAATCAAATACATATTAAACATGTGTTAAATTCCAGGCTTGTGGTCATAAATAAGGGCAAAAAGATGACTCAAAGGAGTTATAAGGAGCGACATTAGCTTTCTTTTATTATACCTCAGGAACTATGACTCAAATTTTATGTATTTCCATATGAGTAAACAATTAATTATATTGATATTAAATGCATAGAAAACAAATCATGAGTATTTTAAATTTTCTTATAAAACAAACTATTTATTTTGGATAAGGGCATGAATATCAATACAGCTCTTTTCCCCCACCTTAGCTATAATATACAGTTAATAGGGAAAATTACTTTGGTTTATGACTTGTTGCTTTCATTTAAATTACACAGTTTGAACTATAAATATTGACCTCAATAATCCCTATCCACCAAGAAAATGCATAAGAGATTTGGAAAATATGTTTAAAATAATGGCTATTTCCATTCCATAAGTTAGTCCCTGGATCAAAGCAGGAAGGACCATGGAAGTT